ATTGTGAATGTGATTGAACCAGATATTGGATGTAAATTCACAGGTTACATCCGCTCAATACTATAAAGCAGGGGTGGCCCGCAAGTCGACCGACCGGTCGACCGCCACGTTTGGGGTAGTCGATCGCGTCTGATGTTGACTGAATTTAATAACATACCCCAAAAATGCCTTGAAACAGTTTCAGGCAACGCCTATTGTGGAAGAATATAATACTGTAGACAACATGCGCAAACACTTATAGTAGGCTATTTGAGTATTGGCAAGTCCGATAGAGCTATATTATTACCTATTACCCATATAACTGGTGCCAAGGTTTAGAAATGAACTTGCCGAATATCGTGTGCCTTAACTGACAAACGATCCCACAAAAACTTCTGCAGTATGCGACAGTTATTGTTTCACTCCAAGAGTAGTGTGATAAATTGTATTCGCAATAGTAGCAGTGTCACAGGAATGCCTAATTATTTATAATTTCAAGCGAGCGTAGAATCGGACTAGAAAATTGCAAATTAGATACTGAAGCTTAAGCAATCATGTAACATGTAGGGTTTGATAGTATTCATTTTCCGTGTTTTAGCTAATACATGGATACTTGGCAAGTTTTTTTGAGGAATTTTCATGTACAACTACATTTAGACAGTCCATCTTAATTAGATGATGAAACATTTACACCAGATACAATTACACAATTAACTTAACTAATAAAAATATTTTTTTTGTGGCGATTCCATTAAGAATGCCGAGCTTATTGGAAGTGGAATTTTCTCTATGCGTGTGTGAAGTTATCTGCATCTTCAGTACCCATTCGTTTTTGTGTATGACCTTATTGCCGATCAGTCGAATGCGATCGGAAGCAGGTTGGCCACTCCTGCTATAACGGATTGGAGCAATAAACCCAGAAAAAAAAAAAATGATGGGGTGACTGATAAAATTCACTGGTGATTTATAGTGACTTTACTGAATGGACACGTAGTGTACATAACGATCGTTTCAATATCATGTTGTTCTTGTTCTTTGACACAGAATAACACACCTAGTGGAAATATTAAAAAAAACGCTTTTCTCTTCGAATACTGGACCAATTGCTTTGAAATTTTCAGTGGTTGAAGATAAAATTTTTCCCCAGAAGGCTATTACCTTTTTTTTCTCGCTATGACGTCATCAGAATTATTGCCATTGGGTGGCGCTACGTGTCCATATATTTGAGCATAGCTCTCTTGTTATTTATCTTGTCATTTCCCCATAATGACAGTGGAATTTATAGCATACATTTTAGTAATATGTAATGTCGGTGCAATTGTCGGTGAAAATGGGTGTAACCTGGATTTTATATTAGATAAGCTATTTAAATTTAATGGGACCAGATTTATTTTATATGGGGAGTGGTTTGGGGTGTGCCTCTTTGACACAGTCGGTTACAGCTTCTAAGAATATAGAAGTTTAAAATCACCAACCTAGTTCATTGATGGTTTGATTCATCTTATCGTGTCTTGTTTCGAGATCCCGAATTTGTTGTTTCATTTCTCGATTCTCAATTTCAATATCATCCATTTTGCTTTTCAGCTCTCTCATTGCCTTTTCGTCAGCAATATTACACTGACAGGGTTCTCCCTTTTCTCCTTTTAGTCCAGGCAAACCATTCATCCCTCGTTTTCCTGGTCTTCCTTGAGATGAAGATGTTTGAAGTGTCGACGGAGCATGTTCTGTGGTTTCTCCAGGTTGACAAAGTGTTGTTGTTGTAGTGCAAGTGTAAGGAGGAGAAAGTATATCCTTTTGAGCTTGTGTAGAAGTTATGCATAGAATGCACATAAGCAAGAAATAGCTAACCATGGCTATGTTTATTGATAGAAAGAGAGACAAAATTCATTTTTTGTCAAATCAGAAAACATACAATAAATATAAACTATGACAAAATAATAGTATAAAAGTTTTCGGTAGATGACTGGGTGATAACGATACGACCATTTGCGGTCATCTGGGTCATATCACCCAATACAAACACATGAAAATATAAATAAACACAAGCTGTGTTTTGTTACACTCTCAGGATTCATCTAAAAAAGTACATAAGTGTCGCAAAACACTCTCAGAATTCATCTGAAAAAGTACATAAAAGACGCAAATCAAGTCACGTCGCTGTTAAATATAGTCTCAAGTCGAAGCTAAGTTAATTTCATGAACAAGATCAAAATGAATGATTATGAGTTACACATGCAGACACTAAGACGTGAACTTTAGTTTTAAAATATTTTGAAAAGCAAACGAGATTTTAATTGTGGCAGTGTATCGAATGTGGATTGTGACTATGGACTTTAATGTTATTTGATCCCTTTATATTAATAGTATGTTAAAATAAATGAACTAGGTCATTTTAGCTATTTCTCTGATGGTGATTTATCGTAGCAGGCCTTAGCTTTCTTTTGTACATAAGAAAGCGTTCAAGCGTATTTGTATGGACCAATCTTTGGCGCGCGTTTCCGGATTTCGTCCGAGGGTTGAAATATAGTGTTTTCCATGTTTTGTGTACGTATTTAGTACGGATTCGACCGTATAACTGTATCAAGGTTTAAGTATATGATTTTATTTATCTGTATTTGGATTCAATTCGATCGTGCAACTTTTCAATATACGATACATACATTTGGCATTCAACACACGTGTGCTTATTGACCTCTGAAGTAGCCCAGATCGGGGTTACACTCCATAACGTGTGTCGATCCAATAACACGGGAGTTCGAACCAGTGGTGGGATTCAAGCCGGTTCTATGACAAAAGTAATATTTTTCACCCGGTTCTGTTGTCATATAAGATGCAAAAATATATTGGCAGTAACCAGTAATGCTAACCGGTTCGCTAATCTAAAATTCCATGAGACGGTTCTATAGAACCGGTGCAAACCGGCTAAATCCCACCACTGGTGCTAACCTGCAAATAGGGTCAATCAATCCCATAGCAGCGTTCACTTCGATACATGGGGGTCTCTTTCGGTTGTTTCAAAAACAAGGTGATAAAATTTCGATAACTTAAATTTCGACGTGACAATTCATATTTTACTATCTCGAAGAATCGCTGAAAATTATTTTGGAGTCTTAACTCAAGTCACTTTGGCGGTAATTTTGCTTAGATAATCCGAGCCACTTTGTTTCCTAAAAACGCGATTGATTCAAACTCGGAAACTACTCTACAAAAACTATATTTAGTGTCAAAAAGGATCAATAAAAAGTTAGAACTACATTGAAACCTCAGCATTAGTTAGTGTTAGACTACTCTGACATCTTATAATTTACCGATTCGGCTTAGAACATAAGTTTAGACTTAGAGTATACTAACATGAATGACCATAATCCGAAAAACTAACCTGGGTAAGACCAAGTCCTATATTTTCGTGTTAATATCAAATAATATTTTATTGAAATCATCATAAATCCATCGGAGAAGCGTCAACGGTAATCTGTACAATAATACTGTGTTTTCAAAAATCGCTTATAAATCATTCCTGTCTGTAATCTTAGCCTGGTGGCACGATCTACAAACTATAAGATGCACTGAGTGTCTCAACGTAAAACTCACAAAACAATGAAAACTGTGTTCGTTGACTTTGGGAATTAAATACGAAAAGCGATTAAAATCAAAATGTTATTACCTTGAACATGAGGCGCAAATAATGCGTATTTAATCAGACAGTTCTATTTATGAATTTTGTTTTCCATGGCATACGTGTAATGCAGTAATGTAAGGTATGTAATCTCAGTAACAGACTGCATTCAAAAACAGAAATGAATTCCCAAACGTATTTCAGATGCAAATTCCACACCTCATTTGGTGTAATAGTTATTTGTGATCAAAGACTGTTAAAAAATGCAACAAAATAACTATATTTTCAGGCACTGAATCTTGTGTAGTCGCGTGTCAATAAATTTGAACGAGCAAAGTTTAAGGTTTAATGCGTTTTTATCGGCGCAATAACTTTGCAGCATTGGTTTCAAGCGTTCACTGTTCAAACTGATTATTTTTTCCCGCTAAATCAGGGTGCAATCGGCGGCCCGCGGGCCAAATGCGGCCCGCAAGAAAATATTGTGCGGCCCGCAGAGCAAGTTTTTATTTTGTGCGGCCCGCGGTTACACCCAGTTATTTGTATCTGGCCCTCCTGTATTAAAGGTTGTACACCCCTGATCTAAATCACGAGATATTGAACTTTGCAATTCCGCTGAGCAGTTATTCAAGCCTTAATTTTGTAAACTTTTTATGCTATAAAATAAAAAATCATCGGTGTATGAACGTATTACATTTTCCCGCCATTTTGTTTTCTTTTATAGTCGGCGACAAACTTGAAGATTCAATGCTTTGTTTCGATGGAGCAACTTCCACGTAATTTCAATAATTATGCAATTCTGTTCCAAACTTGTTGTGGCTTTATCTGAATATAAGCCACGCGAAATCACTTGCAACCATTGGGACGTAACAAGCTTAAATTATTACTTATTGCGTCAAATGTCATCCTGCGGTTAAACGGTTAATTTTATCCGGTTAACATGTTTCCGAATCGCCAGGCCTAGTTCAGATCTCCGCTCTAGAAGACTACTCGAATTCGATCTGCCCGTCTGTGTCTGACTGTTCCATATGTATGAAATTTCTCGCTTGATTATTAATGTCACCCTAGTATTGCGTGTTTCACCAGAAGTCCGAATTAGTATTGTGTGTACATGGCAGAAGCGAGAATACGAATCAACTGTTGGGAAATTTTCAATTTTCTAACCAAAAATTAAGTCTAAAATGAATAGAAAGTTAAATTATCAAATTCAGCTACAAACTCACATGCATAAGATCAAATTCATTTACTAACAAAAACCAACAACGTACTGCACGGGCCCGCTTCCCCCTGTCCACGTGGCTTGGACCAGACATCTTAGATCGCAGTTGGTTGAAAATGTCGCTTCTCCATTTTCAACTTGTAACCCCACCAAAAATGACTCGGAACAAAACGACAAATTATATCTACAATTATTTATTCTACTATAAGTGCCTAATTACTACGAAAAAAAAAACTAACACAACAAACAATACGACGATTTATATCTAAAAATATTAAACCTAATAAGTGCCTACAAAATCTACTAAGTGCCTACAAAATTCTATATAATGTGGGTCACAAAACCTGATTTTAAAAGCCGAATTGAATTAAAAAAAAAGGCCAAATAATGATATACGTTGTAGAATTAAGAATACTATTCGTCAGTGTGAATTTAGACTAGAATTCAAAAAATATCCATACATGCATACACGTTTGATGCTCCTTATGCTATTTGTCATAAAAATAACCCAGAATTTGAGATTGCCACATAGCTCGGCTTTCAACCATCTCTAGAGATTTTAATCGCTTCTGAATTTCAATAAAATTGCTCAGTGTCCCTTGTATATTGTCTACTGGAGTTGTATAACCAAAATGATTGATTTTAATTTTTAAAGCGTAAAACCAAAAATCGGACAATAATTGAACTGAGACATTCATTTGGAAACGCACCACAGAACACGCAATTCAGTCAAAGTGAAAATTATAATGAACATATCCCATGTATGATAAATACCGCTAGATAGGAATATTCTGGAAACTAAGATGGGACTCGATCCCATGACCTCCCTCTGTTTGAAGGGCGCTCTCCCAACTGAGCTACATAGAATCCAGAATACCCCCCAAATAACAGATTTATCACACACAGGCGGTTCCTTTTAACTAACTTCTTTCCTGCCTCACATGAAACCAACAATTTGTTCGAAAATTTCAATCGACAATCAGTCAAAAATTTGCCCGAAATTTAAATTTTTAATCGCTTTTGAAGTTCAATGAAAAAAAACTAATTTTCCCCTGTATATTGTCTACTGAAGTTGTATAACCGAAATGATTCATTTTAATCTTCTAAGCATTAAACCATAAATCGGCCAAATATTGAAGTTTAACCCATACATTCATTTAGAAACGCAACCGCAGAACACACAATTCATCTGAAGTAAAAATCACAAAGAACATTGACCATGTTATAAAAAATACCGCTAAATAGAAATATTCTGGAAACTAAGATGGGACTCGATCCCATGACCTCCCTCTGATTGAAGGGCGCTCTCCCAACTGAGCTACGAAGAATCCCAAATATTTCAAAAATAGCAGATTAATTACTCAGGTTATTCCTTGTAATTCCATTCTTGTCTCGCGTGTTAACGTAAAACCAATGAAATTTTTGGAAATTCCAATGAACAATCGGTCAAAAAGTTGCACGAACATTTAATGGGACTCTCACCTCGCAGTTGAAAATCCTGGCAACATACAATCCGCACAAATGATAGGGAAAATTTTCAGAATTCAGCGCGACCGTAATTTAAAATCCAGAAATACGAAATTGATCCCCCGAATCGATTCAGATAAACTACAGATTGAAGTTTATATCAAATATGTTTTAATCCCCAAACCGAACGCTCACCCCGAAAGTGGAATGCCAACAAACAGCTTATTCAAATGCCAAACCCGGCCTCTCCGGGTCAGGTCTAATACCCTGGCGAGAGACCGTGGGCCCGTGGTTTGACACAAGAATAAGCCATTTTATCGTCTTTCCCTTTCACGGGATAAATGTCTGGTTTCAGTATCAGGCATATTCGAAATAGTTTTCAACCTACAATCATCTTATCAATATCGAGGAATAAATGAGAACAATCCAGCATCTGTACCCATTTAAATGTCCTGTAGCAATTCCGAAAAATTGGATATTACAACCAAAAAAATATTTCAGAACAAGGTTACGAGCAAAATATCAAACCCAAATTCTGAAGCCGACGGTATAGTGACAAAAAACTCATATTCTGGTATGAAATTTCATGCCATTAGCAAAAATTCATTATTTTCTAATTTAATCTATAGCTATATTAAATTCATTGTTGGATTAAGGTTGCAATATGTGTGTTAAAAATAATACTTGAAATTGGAATTAACTTACTATACTAACATTTTAGATTTATCACTACAAAAAAAAAATAATTTAAATAAATTTAAAATCAGGTTTTGTGACCCACCCCTAAAATATAAAAACTATTTAAGCCTAAATAATACTATTTCTAAATTATATATAAAAAAAAAAAAAAGTAATGCTGGAAAATTATTTGTTGGTGCCAGCAACGGTAACGGTGCTGGCGCCGCCAATAAGTCTTGGCGAGATCGGTCTAGGCGAGTTGAGCAAGGGGATTCCAGTAGACCTCTTAGCAGCAGCAACCTAAACATAAATTTATGAAATTTATAAGTAGCAAAAATATATTTCTCCACGGATAAAGTTGAACTGATAAGACAGATCTATCTAGCGATGCTAAACTCTAAAATAAATCCAATCCTGCCTAAAAATCGTGTTTCGAATGCTTGAACCAAACTATGTCAATAAAGACCTATCATTTCTTTACCAGGCACCATTTGAAAATCTAAATTCCTGTTTGGACTACTTTAGAATTCCACAACGTTCCGTCGACTTGCAGGCGCATTTATTCTAAGCTCACACTTCTAACTTACTCGTCTAGCCTCAAGATATTTGTTCCTGTCCATCATATCTTCAACGTGCTTTGCCCATCTCATAGTAATATCAAGGTGCTCTTTCTGGTGTTCTGTCACTGTAGCCTTGAAACTAGCAAGTTCCTCCTTCAGTGCCTTGAGTGTAACAGTCAACGTATGATTTATTTTGAAACACAAGCAGGTAACTTACTGTCCTGCCCGTTCTACAACGTTCAACTCGTCATTTTTGCTATTTGAAATCTCGCAATATGTCAACTCAACTTAAGTTACTTCCTTTTAATTTAAATTGAGGAATGTATATCTAGTTTAAGATTTGGTGCTCCCGTAGTATGTGAACCAAGATGACGGACATCGGAACGTAGTATGTGTAACAAGTTAGGGTTGGGCCATAATTTTATTCCAATTTTAGTTTTATCACGGGGACTAGCCAAGTGACTGCCGTAGTCTTTGTGCCTTAAATTACGGCCTACCCCTAACCTGGCACACATACTACGTTCCGGTGTCTGCCACCTTGGTTCACATACTACGGGAGTACCGGAAATTTAATACAAACCCATAAACAATAACGAAGTGATCATTTTGTAAGATAAAAAGTAAAAAAAACAGACCTTTTTTTCCTCAGCAATCATCTCCAACTTTGCCTCAAGCACAGCAAGTTTGGCATCAACAAGTTTGGTAGTGTTAACGGCCAGCAAGCGAAGGTTCTCAATCTGGTGAAAACATGGATATGATTTAGAAGCAGTGGTTCCCAATCTTACCCAACCTATAAATTTCTCCCTTTGCCTTTCTAACTACTTTATTTATTCAATCTTTAATGGATCCTTAGATAGCGCTACGCACGCGCGCCTGGTCTGCTGTATTACCGCGATTCAATGGCCGAACGACATTTTCCCTAACTGATCGGTTCTTATCAATGATGGTCACCTTATGGCTATGATTCCGAGGCCGAATAACGTTCCGGTTTAACTTCAAATGCAGATTTGTGCTCGGACGACCGCTATTTTCACAAGACACGATGCTAAAAATTTTGTACACCACATTTTATTTTTCCGCGTGGGAATAATTTTTGATTACTATGGCCCTCTCTATGGATGAGTCAGAAGCCGGTGATTGCTTTTTCAGACTTAATAGATCCGCTTTGCGAGCAAATCCTTAGCTGAACTCCCTGACTAACGAAATCAAGAACCACAAAACCGGGTTTGTGCTATGGTAGCCACTTTCTCCATAAGACCTGATATTAAATATTGTTTGTGGCCTTTTATTTTTCCGTGTAGGATGGATTTAAATGAGTATGGTCTAGCTTCTTACCGCGATTCGGAAGCCGAATGATATTTTCACCCAACTCATCGGTTATTATCTGATCATTATTGCGAAAATTATGATGAAGTAATCACAATATTTTATATGAGCCAATTTAAAAATGATTTATAAACATTATATTTTTCCGCGTGGGATATATTTGAATGAGTATGGCTCCTCTATAGTTATCAGGCAATGGTCGAATAGGCTATCATTTTTCTCCGATGGACCTAAAAGTTTCGATTTATGTATAAATGCAAATTAGTGTTCTGGCAACCGCATTGTTCATAAAATTTAATGTTATGACTTTTGTAAGTCAAATTTATTTTTCCGTGTGGGAAGGATTTTAATGACTATGTCCTGCTCTGTAGATGATGAGATCAGATAGTACTATTTCTGACTTTTGCAGTTCTGCTTTGAGTATATATTAGAATAACTCTGACAACTTGCCAACAAACAAGATGCTCTGACAAAAACAGTTTTGTGTCTGTGTAACAAAATCTCCAAGATCTGATATTGAAAATTGTTAATGGGACTTTTCATTTATCCGCGTGGGATGAATTTTGAATGGCTAAGATATACTAAAACTATACCGTTACAAGTTAAAGTTGCGTAACACTATTATTTAACTCAACAGTTGCGATATAAATACAAATGCAGGTTTATTCCCAAACGAAAGCATCCATCATCAGAGGTAACGTTGAAAAAATTCCAAGTCACTTTTTATTTTTCCGCGTGGGATCGATTTTGAATGACTAGGCTACACTGAAACTATACCGTAACGAGTAGAGAGTCAAAAAACACTATCATTCAACTCAACAGTTATGATATGAATACAACTGCATAATTGTGCCTAAATGTAAGCATCCGTCATCATAGGTAAGGTTGAAAAAATTCCAAGCCACGTTTTATTTTTCCGCGTGGGATGGATTTTGAATGGTTAGGATACACTGAAACTATACCGTTACGAGTAGAAAGTCAAAAACACTGATATTCAACTCAACAGTTACGTTATGAATACAAATGCATAAATGTGTTCAAATGAAAGCATCCATCATCAGAGGTAATGTTGAAAAAAGTCACTTTTTATTTTTCCGCGTGGGATGGATTTTTGAACCTGTAGTCTACTACCCTGTAGGTATCGGAGGAGGGGGGGGGGGGGGGTCTCATTGTTCCCTCTGATTATATAACACTTGATAATATGTATAATGAATATATATGCAAAGTTAGTAATATCAACGCAACACCCCCCCTAAAAATTCCAAATATACCGGTAACCTAATCATAAGTTACCTCCTCCTCGGATTTTCTGATGTGGTCAAACGCCATCATTCGTCCAAGTTCATTGATTACCATCTTCATACAGAAGAGCAATCTGAATACAAGGGGTGTGTGTTGTGAAACTAGCACGGTACTGCCCATTCATTTAGTCAAATATACTTCATTGGTTACAAGGGTGCAACTGCAATGGGGTTGTATATATCTATATGGTCAGATAGGAGAACCTACATGCCTACCGGTAGCCTAGTATGTCTACAAATCAGAAATATGTCTCTCACCCCTTCACGAAGATTGCAACATGCTTGCGGAAGACCACACACATCAACACAATTTGAACCAAAAGAAGAACTCTCGAAAGTACGAAGTCATTGCGAATATGTTCCAAAACTGCCATGTAGTCCGAAGAACTTCCTGCCGGAGCCAGGTATTCTAGACCCTCCATGAAGCACTCAACCAGCCCTTCACATGGTTTAGGTTCCGGAATGACCGGAACCACCTCCTCAACCACTGCAAATCCAAAGAACGGCAAAATAAACTCCAATAAAGCTTGTAAGAATTCCATCTTTACTCAGCGATATCAGTCGTGAAATAATATCTTTAATTGAATTACATTGTTACAAAATTGTAGATTTCGCTAAAATTATGACGTAACAATATTATTTTTACAAGTAAAGAGCATGATCGCGAAATTTAGTTTTTTAGATCCAGCTTATTACCGATCTTTTTTCTTTTTTAATAGTTTTAAATTAATTAAAGGGTGTTTTGTCTATTCACTATTGTTATTATTAATCATTTGGCGTCCCCTTAACCAGTACTCAGAACCGTAGACGTCCGAAAATAAGAATAATTTGCGAAAGCGTGAAATATAGCGAAGCAATCCGATAACACGCGATGCCACGCGAAACTATCCGACATTACGCGATGCAGATCCGGCCATTGTGTCGTAATGAACTGAATATATTCAGTTCCTTTCCGTATGATTGTGTACCGTACGAATTACTCATAAATAATTATAGCTACCGTATTAACTGGGGGGTTTCTGTGTGACGTACTAGCCGACTTATCTGATTTTTGTGTTTTCGCGCTGGTCGATCCATATTCGCGTAAATGAAGAATGCTGCATAAAGAGTGAAGTCAACTATTCTAAGTCACAAGAGCTTTCTAGAAGTAATATATTCGATGTACGCCTAGCCTAGGCCACATGATACTACAGCCTTTTTATGCAGACTGTCGCATTGCGTTTTTGTAAAAGCACTGCGGCCACCAATAAGATCGAGGTCTTTTATGAGCTATATTTAATAAATGAATTGGTTTTTATTGAGCACGCACAGCAAAATATTTAAATTTATTCAAATTTAATTTTATTCAAGTTTTCCTTATTTTAGTTTTCTTACAAGTTTGGTGATTAGCCAAGTGACTCCCGTAGTATTTGTACCTGAAATTATGGCCAAACCCTAACCTGGTACACATACTACGTTCCGGTGCCCGCCATCTTGGTTCACGTCCTTCGGGAATACCCAAATTTGTAGCCTTTCTGGCTAACATGGTATGTCCAGGGCTGGATTAACAATTCATTAAGCATAACAAGCACGTAGGTACCAAGAGAAAGGGGCACCACAGATATTTCCCAAGACAAATTTTCAATAATGCCTCAGTGTTTAAGGAAATGATTGGAGTTGGTCAGACGATTCATACCTCAATATTGGCCCAGTCGAAATAAACAGTATAATCTTTCAACCCTCTCCATAAATGTTTGTATGCATTAGAACTATTTCAAAAAACATCATGTTAATTAATCATAACTTGGCCTTCAGTCAGTAAGTAGCCTACTAAATACTGAAACTTATATATTCCATTTTAGATAACACTAGTTTAATAATTCTTTTACATAAAGGGCACCCAAGTCTTGCGTGCTTAGGACCTGAAAATGACACGATCCGATCCCGGGTATGTTGAATATTCTGTGGAACGATGACAGGACGTGGGGGCATGTTTTGAAATATGATCAAGATATGCTTCCATTCGTTCTGGGAGAACCATACCTAAATGGGTGGAATTGCATGTACTAGAATATCTGTAAGTGACTATAATTACAAATTACTGGTGACGGCTGGATGAATTCTAACTGTGAGATTACAGCGCTGATTCACAGGACTGGACTAAGATCAGACTTAAGTGGGATATTACCGATAACAGTATAACGGACAACAGACAGCCAAAACTATGCTGAAGGGGGTATACATGCAGAAAAATTTTAAATCTTAAAGGAAAGTTAAACACATTAATATTAGTCGTTCAAATGCATTCGGTTCCGAGGAAACTATATTGTTTATTCCGCTAAAGTGTTTTCACGAGTGCAATGCAATGAAAAGTCATCTTAAGAAACAGTTAGAATGTCCTTAAATTTACTTTCTGTGGAAGGTATTTTTTGAGCGAAAAACTACTGGAAAAGCATCAAAAAATTCAGTTACAAACAGAAAACAGAAAGAAAGCATTCAAATCATGCTTATATGGACAAATTAAACATTGCAAAGTTGAAAGACTTCATGCAATGCATCCTACAACTTCGATATTTCCATCAAATTGCAATCATAGTCGAGTTTTTCATACCAGCCCTGTAGTATGTGACATTTAGATATGATGATTGTTATGAATATAAAATTTACCAATTTTGGTGCTGCAAAAATTAGCTGCATTATAATTTCCCTGCCTGATTCAGGTTCTTCTATGTCAGCTATTTTTATGCTTTATCTGAACTGTTATCTGATGACAGGGAATGTAGGAAATCTTATTGATTTAGTGTTTTTCAATCAAAGTGCGCCACTTGAATGATTAATATCCCCAGCACATTCCTGGAGACACTGAAGTCGCATTCTAGTATGCTAGTAATTCCTCATTCTATTTATTATAAATATATAAAGCTCTGTAATAGGTATCATATTTAGAAATAGAAGACCGGTTATAACATTTTACACTTTGTTTTCATTTTCCACTGTTAGTCTTTTTCTTTACCATATGCTGTTGGTTTTCGAGTTTCTTTTCATTATACCTGCACTGTTGGTGGTTTGGCACTATTTCTTTTACAAAGAATTTTGTCTGAAAGAGAGATAGATATTGAATAACATTTTACGAGCTGTTTTTGTCAGTCGCTCTTAACGAGGCTTTGCAGGGGTAGAATTTGTGAAGAGCACAATCAAGTCTTTGCTGACGCATTTCCTGCCGCGTAAAAAACAATATCATGGTATATTGCACGGAATACTGTACTGTCTACTGAAATGACTTTTCTTAATTTCCGAGTTAAAAATTTGGGTACTTCTGAAGTATGCGCACCAACCTGAACCCTTACCTGGTACACAACCTGAGTTCAGGTTGTGCGCCATCTTGGTGCGCATACTTCAGGAGCTCCAAAATTTGTTATGAACTATATTTGGAGAAAAATTATCCGTCGAAAAAGTGGGCTGTTTTCACAAATGGCCTACGTCGACTGTTGCATGTAAATTTCCGTATTCCTTCCGATTTACCCATCCTTTTGCTTATTCTGGCTGCGCCTATGGACGTATTTCAACCTACGCTTTGATTGCACCTCCCCTGGCCATTTAAAACACCACCGACCGCCTCCGATCAAAATACCGGAAAATAAAATGTTCCGTTTACGGTTTTAGGGTGCGGGCTAGGAATGAAGATTGTGCCTGAAATTTGAATTCTCAAATAATTCCGAACCCGAACCGCAATTGGATAATTACTGATTTTTCAGAGCGTGATATTTTTCTCACATTCCACATTTTTGCATTAGTGGCGGGAGCTGTGTATAAAAGATTCGTATTTCGCAAACCTTCGAATATATAAATTATAAACAGATCAATCCTGTGGCGATTAATCGATTTTTATTATGTAGACATTTTTCAAAATTTTCCATTGTTTTGGTCATTGAGCTGAAGTAATAAACCTTCTATACCTCGTGTATCGTGAGCGAAAACATTACATTTTTACAAAGTAAGATTACCCGTTCTCCCTGTGCGTTCGTTGACAAGACAACGTAATTATGCCCACGGCAAACGACAATAGTCGTTTTGATCCATTGTAAAAGGTATAGATATTTATCTATAGATTATAATCCAACAAAAATAAATATATTGGAAATAATGTTACCATTAGTATAAATAATACTGGCGTTTTCTATGTACAGTTCCTAAAGGTTCATGACTTCAAGCAAAACATACACTGTATCGCCTGAATGCTTCGCGGGTCGCAAATTCGTCACCTCCGTTTTAGGTAATTAAATCGTAGGTATTCCTTATTTCCAGCTTAAAACACTAGCATTGCCGCACTTTTTATTTTCGACCCTTAGATGTTGTGCACCCCTAACCCAGACCCTTGGGGTAAATAATATAAAACGAATCTACAATTTAATAACTGGTTGAATGATAGATTGAACTAATTAGCGGTCAATCAAATTTAAAAAAGGCGAAACTTCGCCACCATTTTGACCACGCTATAGGTTACGGTTACGCAATAGACTACAATACATGTGCGACGAAAACGAATTGTTTAATTAAACGATAAAATTATAATCTCGATGGGTGGGAGTGCAAAGAAACGAGTTATGAACGTCGTGTGGATAAATGTTTAGATTTTTCTGGTGTACGAGTGGTTTTGGTGAAGGAACTGAATATTTCGGGGAAACACAATAAATTGAAATTTCATTGATGCCGAGTTTTATAAGAAACTCCGGTGGAATAGTCGTTGCTAAGTTCGTCATAGTTGAACGATTCTTATTTGGCCCAAACCTATATATTTCAGGAAGTTTTCAATGACCAAGTGATTTGTTAAATTCAAACAGATTTTGGATATTGTGAGCTGTTTATCGGGATTTCTCACGTAATTCAGAATCTAGACGAGAATTTGGGACGATGTTTATTTGGATATATGTGATAGTTTGAATAAAATGCGCGTATTGTAAACACCATCTGGGTGTTGTATGCTGTTTATTGGAATTCCTTATGTCACTCAGAATCTTTTAATCATTTAGAAAAATATTTACTATGATATGATGAAGACAGGTGGATATGAAAAAAATATTATTTGTTATTTCAATCGTTTTCCCACAATATATCAACAATGTTTGAACCAGCTAAAGCCGCAGTTTTCGAAGACTCAACATTCGATTCGTACGATCGAATTTCTTCAGAAAATAAAAACGTATTTTAGAGAATGTTTATGTAGATTTGACGGATTGAATGAAAGGCGTCGTATTTTCAATGTTGAAAAATATAAGCGGGAATTCAAAATATTGAAAAACATAACAACGTGAGTCGATTAAAGCTGTACTAATATCAGCGCACTCTCAATAGTGTTTATTTATTTGGATGGGATTGAATGTGATAATTTCAAAACCTTTCGTCGAGTCAGTACAGTGCGAAAATACTATGAAATGAAAATAATAATAACCAATTCAAAGGTTGAAATGATAGCAACACAACTATTCACTTTCTTTGACTGGAGCTTATAAATCTGGACCAATTGTTAAGAAATTTCATATGTGAGACATATTATTCACATGACTTAACAAAAAAGTAAAAGTAGTAGGATAGTCAATTTTTGACAGTCGAAATAAGAGCAAAATTAGTTTAAGTTCATAGTGAGACTTCAGTAGTCATAAGAGTGTATGAACCTTATTATTCATACAGTATTTTTAAAAACTGTAACCCTTTTCGAACCGTTTGTGTAATTTATCACAATTTCTAATTCATCAGATTTTTTTCAGGTTCTATTAAGTAAATTTAGCGATAATCGGGCATCAAATGAATGCATTGGAGTGAAAATTTAAAAAATCGCGATCTGTCAAATAACAGAATAAGAAACGGGCCGTTCTGTGGAGGCAAGTTTACACGTATCTTTATATCAGATACCAGTAGTTGACCAGTTCTGAAAATTTTATTTACTCGATTTTGGGAACAGGAGTTGAGTAGTTTTTTAAATCCCGAGGTTTGGATTAGGTCTAATCACTGGTTACCCGAGTGTAGGGTTTGAAGTCCAGTCAACCACTGAGTTAAGTCTCACTAGCGATTAGTTGATCACGAGTCCGAGTCCTTCGTTTCATTTAGATGATTCGTGTCATTCTGAGTATTTGAGAGATGGTCACTCGATCCGGTTTCGAGTTGAGTCAATCGGTCAACTCGATCTTTCCTGACACCGGAGTCAGAATTTCCCAAAATCCGAATTCGTAAGTATGAGTCAAAATGTTTTCCAGTCTGAATTAGGAATCGATTGTAAATGTTTTCAGACTCCACAGGCTGTATCTAAGACCTTTAGACGTTCATAAAACGAAATATTTTCGTCTAGTGCAGGGATGTCCAACCCGCGGCCCACAGGAAGAATTCGTGCGGCCCACTTTAAGTTTTTATATAAATACGGACATACAAACATATTTAACATAAAAATTTCCTGGTATGATATTAAATCTCACTAGAATTTAGGCTATAATTTCAGGCGACTCCGCCATGAGAAAAGCGTTGTCGAGCGTCACAGAACATGATTTTAGAGCGGGCTAAAGCGTGCAACATCTGTGTCGATACAACGAGTTTTCTACCCATTCTGAAGTCATTAAGAATGAAGTCACACTGGTACCTTACCGGTACTGTGTTTTATCGATGTTGTATCACGAAAACAAATCTACCAGTATGTCTGAAGCAAATTAGATGAAGCTTGAGGATGAAAATCGGAAATATCAAAAGGATTGGAAAGAGTTGTAAGCAACGATGTATGCCCAATATGCCATAAATCTGTTTTGGGCTTGAAGTCGTATAATTTGAAAATTATGAAGTCGAAGCATAGGAGTACACTGACAAACGAAAATTTGACAAGCCAGTTAGTTACAATGTGCGGTATCAAAACTATCCGTTGATATTGAACAGTTGAGCAATGACAATCAAAAGCAAGTTTCGAACTAGTTGAGGAGAAAAATTGCTGATTTTATTTTTTTTTACACCAATGTATGTGCATTTTGCATAAAATTTGAGTTGAATTTCATGGTCTTTGTGTACATCTTGTGTTCAGAAATCCGCAAATATGTTGTGCAATATTGGCGTATGATTTAGCGACGCTCAAATTCTAACGTAAATCGGAATTGGATGGCTATTTAAGTTTGGTAAAAACGTTTGCGGCCCGCAATGAATTTCCCCATGTGAAAGTGGCCCGCGACACTAAAAAGGTTGGACATGCCTGGTCTAGTGAATAAGCTTGAGGACTCAAACGCATTTCAAGGTTTGGTCCGAAGATTTGCCATTAACTAGCAACAATGTAATCTTTTAGATAAATAAACATAACCATGGTTAGCTATTCCATGCTTATATGCATGCTTTGCTTGACTTCAACACAAGCTCAAAAGGATATACTTTCTCCTCCTTACACTTGCACTACAACAACAACACTATGTCAACCTGGAAAAACCACAGAACATGCTACGTCGACACTTCGAACATCTACATCTCAGGGAAGACCAGGAAAACGAGGAATGAATGGATTGCCTGGAATAAAAGGCGAAAAGGGAGAACCCTGTCAGTGTGATATTGTCGATGAACAGGCAATGAGAGACATGAGGAGGAAAATGAATGAAATTGAAATAGAAAATCGAGAAATGAAACAACAAATTCGGGATCTCGAAACTAAAAATGATCAGATCAATAAAACCATTAAAAAACTAGAAGGTTGGTGTTTTTAAAACTTATATATTCTCAAAGTTGAATATTTTTACGCTAGATATGATTGAATTAATTATATTTCGTATGATTTAGAGGAAAACAGCAATTTCACTTTTCCATCGAGTTGCAAAAATGGTATGACTAGCAAAATATATCCTCGGAAAAGCGAGGGAGACCTCACTCCCGTTGAGTTTAATTGCGAACTATATTCAGTGAATGAAGATGAATGGATTGTAAGTTTTCTTATTTGGTCATCATGAGATTTTTTATGAATGACAACCTGTCATTTGTTCATGGTTAATTGCAGATAAGATATCGACCACATATTGATTGCAATCCTACGACAAGTTTTTCACCGCCACAAACATTTAAAGCCTAAACAAACGATATAAAACTATTTGTTTTAAAATGTTAATTTTCTAAGATCATATAATAATTTACTTCTCTTTCACGTAAATTGAAAATATATCTTTCAGACAATTCAGAGACGACAGGATGGATCAGTCAGGTTTTATGACAGAAACTGGGAAAGTTATGCCAGAGGTTTTGGAGATAAAAATGGAGAATTTTGGCTTGGTACGTGTGGCGACTCATTTAGGTCGGAATTTACAAAGAAATTACTTTGATTTACATGTTAACCACTGTCAGTGTCAAACGTGCAGTATGAAATAATGTCACCTTGATTTATTTATGATATAATGGTAAAATAGGCTCGTTGCGTTGCAATTCTCAGGCATGTTTGTCTAAAAGTGTCCTTGTAGGCCATTACTCGGAATTGTCCATGGTAACTAGTTACTCTGCTGATCAATTTTTTCTACAAAAATTCTGCAAACAGCTTGGAGGTTTTTAAATCAAGGTTGTCATTCAAACAACGATCAACCGGTTAGCGATTCCTAGCTTTGTGGGGCTTACATACTCATTAATTTGCATTTTCAGTTGTTCCAAAGTTAAACTCAAGCCACTGAAAAAGAAGCAAGTATAGTTTAAATCAATTTGCTTAAAAAATTCAATGTACCTGTAAGGTTGCGTAAAATTAATATGAGGATCCTAATTAGGTATTGCGTGGCGATGTTGTTTTCAGATCAAGCTCAGCAACCTCGGTTTATCAAGCATCAGAATCAAATATGAACGGCTTACATGGCCTAGCGTACTCATTTCATTTCAAAATGAGGTTGCCTATACAGTGCGAGTGCCAAAAAATTTCATGAATAAACTTATAATTGTTATCTTAATTATAGTTTACTTTATATGTACTGGATACTCTACAACCTAATCTATATTAACTGATATATTGAAGCTCACTGGAATAGTGAATTAACGAGTATTTGACAATTTTTTCATGTTCCTCAGGTCTTCGAACAATTCATCAACTGACAACATCGAGATATTATAAACTTCGTATTGATATGAGATTCCAATCTGGTTCAGTAAAGTACGCGGAATACAGGTGAATGCGTGAGTGACAAATATCGTGTAACCAATATGCACCATCTAATTAAATATTCCGTGTTAACGGCACTCTTTCCTTTTATCAATTTTTTTTCACTATCTTTCTACAATCGTATTCAATTCATTGTCACACAAACATCGGTCACAATAGTATAGAGCAAAGTTCTCCGACTGATTCTTGGCTACTAATCCGATGTGACAGCTCTTATGAAGTATCGTTGCTTTCCTGGAAATTTATTCAAACTTATAGTTGTAATCGATGTGGATCATTTACCCAAATTTTTTCTTGCGATTTTTAGTTTAGCAGTCGGGGTGATTGTTGCTGTGTTGTAGTTATTAAATTCTGCATTTGACTGCACGTTATATTCGATGGGCTCTCGATATATTTGAGCGTTGCTCTCTTGTTTATGTTCTGGAGTTCAAGTTATGAATTAATTAAACAACAATTCTAGTTCATTATTAACAATCTCTTCTTGTTTTATCATATTTATTAACATTAAATTCTATTAGAACTATATTTATATTCAGCACATTCAAAGTAGGAAATGAAAATTCAAAATTTCAGCTGACAATCTCGGGATATTTTGGTGATGCGTTAAACATGATGTTGCAACATAATAATCAATATTTTTCCACTTATGATGTAGACAATGACTCAGATAGTAGAAATTGTGCTCGCAGTTACAATGGTGCCTGGTGGTATACGAGTTGCTATCATTCCAACCTGAATGGAAAATATGATAGTGACTTTATCTGGCGGTCAAGTACTCTCTCGTTCAGTGAAATGAAGATTCACCCGGTGTAAATAATCATCTCATGTGTTCAAGCAACGTCAACGTAGAGATTCTCATATTCACAATTAACTCTGTGTTTCACTATGTTTTAGACTGACAATTCAAAAATAGAGCAGAAAGTCTGCTATGTCGTTCTAAACGTTTTACTTTATTGTATGAATTTCTTTTCCATTTTCACTTTTACAAAACGACGCATTGATTTGTCCTAATTTAGAAGTGATCAAATATTACCAATTGCTTAATGCTATTAGTAATTTTTATTCACCTTCATATTTTTAAAATATACTATACTTTCTGGGGCTCTTAGCCCTCATGGCCCCTAGTTTATCATTCCGGTGGTATTTATAGTGTTACTTTGATTGATAGATTTTGAGTTCATGCATTTTATCCACTTTAATATTTTTAAAATATACTATATGATATGATATGATTGATAGATTTTGAGTTCATGCATTTTATCCACTTTAATATTTTTAAAATATACTATAAAGCAATGGTTTCCAACCTTTTATATATGGTAGACTCTTACGGTATTTATAGCGTTACTTTGATTGGTAGATTTCAAATCAAATTATATTCGGACAATTCATGCTCGGCAAAGGAAAGAAAACTTTGTGAAATAACCTTATCAAGCAATGGAAAGAAGAACGAAGAGTTTTCTTGTAAAGTGAAAAGTAAAATTATTTTTGTGAGTAGCATTGTGGCCCCTTCAACTGCTCTGTGGCCTCCTTAGCGAAATAACCTAATCAAGCAAGGAAAATAAGAACATCGGGGAGTTTTCTAGTAGAAGTAAAATCAGCTTTGCGTCTGGCATGGTGACCCCTTTTCAATTGCTCTAATGTCCTTCTTAGTAGGCCATGAGCCCCCGGTTGGGAAGTACTGCTATATAGACTATAAATGAGAATCAATTTTGAAGCCAAAATAAATTATAATGTGGAATTATTCGAAGTATGTAGCATATAAATGATATCAAATTCATCAGTTAATTAGATGATCAGGAAATATAAAGGCCATGGTACTCGAAGGAAATTTCAAAAACAAAATTAAAAGTTACAACCATCTTAAAATTCTAAATATTTAAGTCGCTTCGACCATTAAATTTGGACCATTTTTCTTGAACACGTGTTTATTACACCACCAAAAGTTTCAAACTTGTGCGTAATTCATATATATTTGGCAATATGTCGCAAATAAAGCGTATCGTATTTGTGGAAACAAATACATGTAATAAATGCCTATCGGATCTCAATTCTCAACCAGGTGCGTGCTAAACATTCCTGCTGCCCAGTGTTTCTAATTACGATGCTCCCTATATTTATCCCTTCAAAAATAAATTGGGGGATAAACAAACTATAGATGTTGTAAGACATGAGAATGAATAAATTAAAGATTAGGTAAGAGCGAAATGTTTGTATGATTGATTGAATCATCAAAATAGGCAATGAACTCACATGTATAAGATCAAAATCAGTTATCTGCCGCCCCCTAGAACGTGCTGCGCAGAACGGCGGCCTTCCCGTAGGACCGCCGCTAGGACTCCCTACGTTTTACCAAGAGTTGGTTGTATTCTAGCTTAGTCGCCTCAGATCCGTTGATATAAAAAGAGAATGTTTTCAGGGCTTAGATGATGGCATACTGATGAAGTTTGAAAGCAACGTTCATATTGAACAAATAATGGACGATTGTCTCTGTATACACAATAAACATGTATAACGTCCCAATTATAAGCTTTTTAAGATAGGATTCTCATATTATCGCGGGGAAAACATGGCGATACGACGACTCAAACATATGGTGCAACACTCACCACCGCGTTTCGCCTTTCTAACAGCTCATGTCGGGTATTTGAATAGTTATTCATTTATCCGCTGTAGATGCATGAGCTTGACGATAGAGGTTCTGACCACCGGTACTCGACGAGGAGTTCTTTATTCCTCTCACATATCATTATTATTATTATAAGTTTTTACCAACCGATATAGCTAGGGATGAGATTGTAATTTAAACAACAGAACAGGTATCTTTTGTATCAATCTCTCTAACAACAGGTTCCCATATTTCAGGAAACGTATGTAGCCTACGTGGCTGCGTAAGCTACATTAACATGACGCGCTTTACATAAAACCAAAACATAACATCCAAAATGCCAAATATAACGCTAGTCGTCAGCTGCGGTGCAAGTTACACATTTGCCGTGGTCGTCTAATGTCCGAAACAAACAACAAGTATATAATTATCCCCATTACATGCATGTATTAACATTCGTTTCTTTCTGTTTACAGTTATTATGAGCATTACTGTTTAATAAATGTACAGAAAATGTCCCATGACTATTGATTCTATTTGTGTGTGAGTGATAGTTATCTATGCTCATAATCAAACGATGCTTTCTGTACAATGCCCATGGACCGGTTGTGAATACTCTACACCTGATGATGCAGACTACAACGCAGCAGTAGCCTTACTTCAGCTCCACAAAGAAGCTCTACACTCTGTTCATATCAACCAGACTGTAAAAGTAGAAAAACCAAAACGTCCAACCATCGCACCGAGAGGCACTGCAGAGGAATGGACATATTTCTTACAAAGATGGAAGGAATATAAATGTGCTTCAAGAATAACCGATCCTAATATACCTTATCAACTTTTAGACTGCTGTACTGAAGACTTGCGACGAGACCTCACACGAACATACTATGATTTATCGACATCAGATGAAAACACAATCCTAAAAAAGATAATGTCTCTAGCGATCAGAAAGGAGAACATCTTGGTAGCTCGACTTCAACTACACAAGCTCCAACAAGATCGAGACGAGCCTATTCGAGCATTCGTGGCACGAATGCGTGGGCAAGCTAGCACTTGCCGCTTTCATGTTAAATGCCAATGTGACCCTCAAACACATGTAGACTACAGTAACGCCATGATTCGTGACGCACTTGTCTGGGGCCTCTATGATGACGACATCCGTCTTGATCTCCTCTCACAGGCCGACGAGGAAATAACTTTAGAGGAATCCGTCAAATTCATTGAGGCAAAAGAAAGCGGCAAACGCTCAGCACATCGCCTCACCGATCATGACACTGCTATAAACAGTTCTTACCAGCGAAAGCAACGGGATAGGGTTCGTGACAAACGCGAATCCTGCGAATACTGTGGGAAATCTAAGCATGGAAACAACAAAGATCGTATTAAATCTTGTCCAGCATATGGCCAAACATGCTCAAGATGCGGGATCAAAAATCACTTTGGAAATGTATGACGCCAACCAAAATGGAAATTGCGGCAACGGGATCTTAAGGTCTCTCCTTCCCCAAATGAAAAGCTCACAATGATTCTGGAAACACTGACGACGCGGCCTCTATCCTTGCAACACTTTGCTCAGTAGATGACAGCTCTTCCTAAAGTCCAGAGACCAGCAGCGTCACACTTGACCATCACATTTATAATGAACTGTGTGATATTTGGGAAAGAAGAGCCTCTGACCCACAGCCAAGTGTAAATGTCTCAATCCTCCATGACCCATCTGATACTCGTCTCATTATCTCAAGCCCTCAAATTTCAAACCCAACACGTTCTGTCACATTCCCTGCCAAGCTGACACTGGCTGCCAGTCATGCCTCGTTGGCATCGATCTACTGGAAAAGCTGGGTCTTGGCCCACAGCATCTGAACCCAGTAAAATTGCAGATGAGTGCAGCTGACTGCCGCCGTATTCAGAATATATGTGCACTTTCGCTGAGAATATCAGCTCCTTCAAGCGCGTCGATAATTGAAACACGCCAATTGGTATACTTCACTGACTCAACGAATAGGCTCTACCTATCTCAACAGGCTTGTAAAGCACTCGGCCTCATATCTCGATCCTTCCCAACAATTGGCGAACATAAAGAGAGCTACAGGTCTAAAACAACTTTGTCTCCCATACACACCGGGTCGAACATGGTCGCTCCTTGCGGATGCCCTATACGGGAACCACCTCCGCCAATCCCAACCTCGGCACCTTTTCCACTCACCCACGAAAACCGAGAAAAGTTGGAAAAATGGATCCTCACTTATTACGCATCAAGCTCATTCAACGTTTGTCAACAACAACCATTGCCAAGGATGAGTGGCCCTCCCCTACGTTTGATGATGGATCCAGAAGCAAGACCGGTCGCCCACCACACACCAATCCCCATCCCCATGGAGGTAAAGGCAGGCCTGGACCAGGATTGCAGACTTGGTGTCATAGCACCTGTACCAATTGGTGAACCTGTAACATGGTGCCACAGGATGGTCATCTGCGCAAAAAGGTCAGGTAAACCACGCCGCACGGTCGACCTCCAAGCACTGAATAAACACTCTACACGTGAAACACATCATACACAGTCACCATTCCATCAAGCTAGAGCGGTCCCACCAAACACTTTAAAGACAGTTTTCAACGCATGGATACGTCGCATCAGGTGATGGGTATAGCCGTCGTTTTGACGAAATAGTGTCTGATATACACATCAAGACTAAATGTGTCGATGACATCTCATATGGTCCAACGACACGGAAGAAGCATTCTTTCAAACAATTGAATGGCTAGACAAATGTGGTCGAAATGGGATTATTCAAAACCCCACCAAATTCCAATTTGCATCACCAATCGTAGCTTTCGCTGGCGTTGAGATCACACCAACAGCAGTTCGTCCTTGCTCGAGAACACTGCAGGCGATAGCAGATTTTCCAACCCCAAAAAACATTACAGACATTCGAAGCTGGTTTGGACTTGTCAACCGCTTCTGCGTCCACAAAACATATGCTACCATTCCGATCCCTCCTCAGATCTAAAACATCATTTGTATGGACTAAACAAATTGACGACCTTTTTGAGCAATCGAAGGCTGTCATTGTAGATGAGATCAAGAAGGGCGTTGAGATATTTAACAAGTCAAGACCCACATGCCTTGTAACTGACCGGTGCAAAGACGGTGTTGGTTTCTGGCTAATGCAGAAACATTGCGAATGCACTTCAGCTAAAC